GAGGGCTACGTGATATCATACAGGAGCTAGATTTAAAAGGACTCGGTAATATCGCCAGTAAGCACTCCGAAATTTTCCGGCTTATACAAGGACAATGCCTTCCACTGAGCGGATAAACACAACCAATGATGAGGAGTGTATTCAATGACCTATAGCGTCGTTCTCATACCTTGGACGGCTAGTTTACTTATCTCAACACCCTCTATCCTCGTCATTAACGAACATGGGAATGTCTCGAGATTCCTCGACTGCAGACATTTTATTAGACCAGGGTTACCTCAAAGTATACCGAGACTCTCGTCATAGACACTGCCGTTGACCGCAAAATCTGCGCTGTACATCGAAGAAAGCCCTAATGATTTGCCCCTTGATATTACGCTCGAAGGGACTTGTCGGTGGTTGCATAATGCTTCTCATAAAGGCAAAATCTCCATTGAGAGATCGCTTTCAGGAGACCCTAGCTAATTTCTGACTTCCCCTTCTTGCGTTGGGCTAGTGGCATGATGTAGGTATAGGACGAGAATGGTAGGACGAGAATGGTAGGACAAGGTAGAAATTGTGCCTGGTTCCAAAAGTTGTGGTGAAGATGCTGACGGGAGAATGTTGAAACTATGTGGCCACCTGTGGTAAATATGAAGATGAAGAAGGGATATTTCAAGAGCACGATGCACTTGTTAATGCGCCGGAACTATGAAAATCAGACCTCAGTTCTCCATCCCCCGTCACCAGCACAATGTCAAAGACTGTATTCCATCCGTTTGCCGCCAGAGGAATCGTTCTAGTGAATTCCACAAAACCTCTGATATGCGCGCTACCCATAACCATCGGTGTGCTCTCGGTTTGCAGCCTGGGTAACATTATGTTCTGCTGATGAACTCGGTGCGTGAGCTCGAGATAGACATCGCCGCCAGCCAACAGCAGATCCTCTCGGACCATAGCTACAACATTCAAGGTCATGTTTCCATCGGCTCTGGGGGAAATATCCAAGCAAGACCTATCTGCCGCATAAATCAAACCGTCAGTCACTGGGAATCCGCCTGTACCGCTGTTGTCAAAAGCCTCGACTTGGCCAGTAGAGAAGTCCGTTAATTGTACGTTGAAGCCCGAGATTCCAGTAGCTGGATCCAATTGAGTGTCAAAGCGAAACCAGGCAAAAGACTCTCCAAAGAAACCCGTGGAAAGCCCACCCTGGAAACGATCTCGTGAGGTTTGGATTAGTGTTCGTTGTCCGTAGTGTTGAGAGATGTCAACAGCAACGCTGAATCCCTCCGGGTCGCGATTTGTTGTACGCACGCGGATTCGCCCTTTAAAGATGATTGCTGTGCCGTCATTGCTAAGCCCTAGAGTGTCTATATACGGCTTGATGTCGACTAGCTCTAGCGGGTCGCTCAGGGTGACGGAATCAGGAACCGTGTTGATCATTCGCTCGAATACACTTGCGCAGGTGGTTTGAAACGTGGCACTGTCTACCATAGCCTGCATAGTGATGTTGCCGTCAACGCCGAAGATCCTCTTATCCGAATTTAGGGTGTCGTTATGGTTGAACACCAAGGGATTGACACCGTCGTTCTGGAGATATCCACGGACCACGGCGGTGTCGAAGGCGGCAGGAGTATTGTCAAAGCTAACCACATTCGTATCGGACATCTCGCCGCCCGTCACATGTTGATTTTCGTCTCCGTGAACTCGGCCGAGTGTGTGGCAACAGGCTACGAGCGCGATCATATCGCTATCGTTGAATCCGGCTCGGTGGAAAGTCGTCCTATGACTTTCCAGAGATTGTTCAGGCTTCGGGACTCCAGGAGGCCCAGCCATGATCGCGTCAATACGGCCAGCTCGGAAAGGGATTTTCTGGCCACCACACCCAGCCGCGGCGGTCACTACACTGAGCGCGAGCAGATCGGCGGCGCTAGCTCTTGGGTTCATAAAGCTAGACATGTCTGCAAACGTACGATTGAATGCCTTTCCAAGGTTCTCATCGCGGTCTAGCTCGTACATGAGAGATGCATCGAGGCCACCAGTGCCGGCTCCCTTGTCATGGGTGGCAACATCATGGAACGCGGCTCGGATCCATTCAGCAGAGTTTTGACGGCCGACATTGTTTTGACCATTACCGCAAGAGGCGACAACTAATATCAAGTCAGCAAAGATCACAAGCAAGGGCTTCACACATGGGGTCAATTTGTACTGCTGCTGAAGCCAAAAATAGTGGCTCCGGATTGAACTGCGAGAAAGTCTTCCAAGAAGTCGTATCGCGAAGGCCAGACATATCCATCCGATTCCCATGAGGACAATGCCCAAACTAGGAAAGTGAGAAGTCGCGCCAGCCACATAGTAGATAAGGAATATTTCAAAGGGGTGTACACATAAGAGTAATGCAGTCTCTCAGCTAATAATGTGCAGAGTGTCTCTCATTTATATTCAACTGATATGTGGTTAGATCTATCGAGAAGTCAGCTCAACATAACGAGGAAGGTAGTATTTGACAATGAGGGGATTACTATTATCATGCATCATTCGGAAGGACTTACAATTCTAGAAGGTGGTACTGCCGAGCTTCGTATCACAGACCATTAGTCGTACTGCTTCCGGTGGGAGTCTCAACAGATTGGGTCGTGTTTGGCTTGGCATCGACCCACAGGATGTATCACATCGCCTATAGAACTGGAGAGTAGGTGCATGAAGTTGCCGAAGTTGCTCACGCCCAGTGCTTTTTTATGGGCCTTGGTAGCCGTAATCCAGCCGCCAAATACACTCGCGGACCACTTTGACAATGAGGTATACTCAGTCAGCAGCAGAGTATCACCCTGATGTCTCCCTTGAGGCATACCATGTTTGAGAATAGCACAGGCCTGAAGGAGCGGGTACATAAGGCGCCAAGCGCTCCTCCTACAGCTTGAAGATCTACTCACCGCCAGGGTAACCAATACGAAATATCGCTGGAGTGTCCTGGCATGTTCATCACTATTTTTGAGATAGCAAGACTCGTGGTACTGATGGGTAAGAAGGGGTCTACCAAGCTAGCATCTAGCTTACATTACCAAATTGTTAAGAAGCTATCGAGGCCAGTTGACTAGCAGTCACATTGTAAGAAGAGACACTAAAAACAAGAAAATGAGCAAAAAGAAAAAAAGAGAACAAAGGCTCCAAGAGAGAAAGAGACCGGTAAGGTTTGCTGTGATAAGTTTTTAAATCAAGAAACTATGCACAAGAGCTTACAGTACAACATCCGCTTTCTTACTGGCAATGGTTTCATCATTGATTGGGTCGAGGGCGCAATCTTCATCAATTATGCACGGGCCGGCAAAGACCGAAAAAATACATGTCCAGCGCCCAAATTGAAGCAATATCCGCAAGGATAGACGAGGAAGATCTTGATCGAACAAGAGTGATTTCTTGAAGGCAGGACTAAAGACAGTGCCAGCTAACATCATATCTTGCTAAGAACATTCCAAACCAAATCTGCACTAATCCCCGGCCAAAGCATTTGATCTAAGTCGGCTTGAGATCCGACTGGGCAACAGTTCCCGGAGTGTCATTCATATCCTAACCGTGAATGAGTCTATCCTACAAACATTCGACGCAACGTTCTTTTGTGGTTCCAAAGTGCCAAGAAGGACATGCAGCGGCGTCATCTTGGCTCATGGGGCTCTTGGGCCGCTGGATCCTCCAGATCATCAGAGACCCCTAACATGAGTCTCAACGGCACGTAGGCACGAGCGTTTAGGGAACCTGGAAATTTCATCATCCTACTCGTGTCTCTTACCTGTTTCTCTCATTTAGCTCACTCAGGTGTCGATTACTGGATTCATGTCCGCATGCCTTGCTTCCCCATTAGTGGCGCATAAGAAGAAGCTTTTTATATTGAGGGCATCAACACAGTAGTTACCTGTTTTCGTAAGTTGCTTGTAAAGGATGGAGGACAATGCGACTCATACGACTAGCCTAATATCAATCAGAAGATGTGCAAGTTCGTCAGAAAATGATGCAGGTAGCGTGATGCACCGCAGAATATCCAGACTAACACATTGGGTCATTTCTGCTACAAGGTGCATGTTAAGGGCGACTGATATAGTGCGGTTCAGGTCGGCTATACCGTTGGGTTTCATCTTGTCTTGGACGGGCATGCGCACAGCCGGTGATGAATGATGATGGTATGGCGGCAAAGCTATCACCCATGATTGCTGATGGTCGGTGTATACTGTGGGCCCGAATGACCAGTTTTGATATTACCCTTTTTACCTGTACGGTTCACGTAGAGATGAAGATTTTCATGTGTATTTATAAAAATTCCACTATCCGGGAGGTCTCTACTTATTAACGATCTCAGCTAGTGAAAGCTGTACTTTAAATCAGCTTTTATAGATAACTATCCGAATATTTATAATTATTTAGACTTATTTATAATAGTAATTACTTAGTTAGTATTCACTAATATAAAGTCGTAGTCAATATTGAAATAATTGATAATAAAGGTTTAATAATCATGGTCTAGAAGTAGAAATCTAGAGCGGTCGTAGATATAGGCGTAGTAGATCTAGTAATTGTATCAAAAAAGAGCGATATCAAGTGGATATACCTCCTGGGTAACTAAAAGGCACCTCCTGGATAGTATAACTCATCTGCAACGCTTGCGAGATCCTATAGCTTCCCGGACCACACAACCACGAAATGCAATATAGTGTCTGGGAAGTAGTCGGAGCCTCTCTACCTCACATGCCTATATGCCAGTCAACTCTGAGAGCATGCCATGGCCTTTGGAAGTGAGTAAAGATTGATTTCTCGTTTGCTTTGAGGGCAGTTTCAGGCCGCGATATTGGGACTGAGTAATGGACTGGAACGTTTCAAACCCATGGTGACTGGTCGGAGGCACTCTTTCCTCCCAACAAGGAGAGTTTCATTGTAATAATTCCTAGCAGCTACTCTTGCCAACGCTCGCGTCAGGCTATAGTTCGCTCTAAACTCTTAAGATCCAAAATTTGATAATCGTGCATACGTATGTTGCTATGTCGAAAGTCTGTTACGGGCGCCTGCCAGATCACCACAGCACCGCCAGATGAATCAGCCCACTCTCGATCCAAATCGAGAATCGATGAATCAAGACACCGATTCGTCTAATAAGTTGGTTTCCATCCCAAGCTTGCCGTCACGCTCACTGCCGTAGAAATTTGCGCTCGCACTTTCGGGTTCATTGAAGTTGTGTTGCTGAAGATTATCACAGTGTCCGTTTTCGTCACCCTCACGCGGTTGTCGATCCTCGCTCAGGTGCAACCTCTCCCAATCTCGTAGCTGCCTAAGCTCGCCCAGCTCCTGTTCATCTTCTCTTCCCCGCTGCACTTCGACTCTCTGTTGCACTTCAGCGATCGGTTGCTCTTCACCTCCCAAAGTCCCCTTTGGCGTCGTCTCACAAAAGAGAGGCGATGATTCGCGGTCTGTAGTGATAGCAGGCTTTCCTACATCAAAGCCGGTTGGCTCAGCGGGTCCGGTAGAGAACCTTGCCCGGCAAGGTGGTCGCCGTGGAGGTGTCGCCAACAGTCGAACAGAGCCTGCCGACCCCTGTTCTGAATCAGCTACGGCGTCGTCCCCATGCTCTATGGCATTCACAGAGCGTTTCAGATGCCGCGAAAATCTTCTTGGAGGGGTCTGCAGTAGGCCGAGGCGGGTAGGGGTGTTCGAGACTATATCAACGGCGTCGTCGTTGGCGAGAGACGATGGGCGCTGAGGGGTAGACGGACCAGTGGCCACACCACTCATCCTAGCAAGACGAAATCTCTGTGGTAGGTCTTTGGGTCAGCACAGACTTGTCTCTCTGTCGGCATAATCGCGTGAGCAGTTTCGTCGATTGGCGTTAGCCGTACCAATTTCTTGCTTTTTTGTTCTCTTTTTTCTTGTTTGGCGGCTTTCGCCAACGCCTTTGTTAACGACAGCCGATAGATCGTGATGACATAAGGCTGTGCACGGTCCAGGACACTTCACGTGGCGTTGTGGGGCGTTAAGGAGCTAGACAGCCTTAGTAGACTGAACTTAGTACAAACTCAGATACACAGGACCTGGAGAGGAGAGTCTGACCACTTTGTTACTTTTGTAGGCTGTTATAATTAGACGCCACTTTCTGGGTTACTGCTGTGGACAGGCAGAAGAGAGTAATTTACGGGGTTCTGAAATCTAACAGGGTTGCCGAAACACCTTTTAAGGGCGGGCACTACTTACCTTTGTCCTTACCGAGTAATCATGCCAAGCCCGGCACGTCAATGTCGCTGGTGAACCTCAATTAGCTGGTACCTCAGTCTGATTGTGTGCTTCGTGGTCAATGAGCATATCCTAGCCAATGCATGCTCTCGCCTTCCTTCTAAGCTAATGGCGAAAGTAAGCAACTGATCGTGCCCAAACAAAATTCCATACAATGAGATCATTTGGAGGGATAATAGTATTCTAGAAATGACCTCTGTATGGCTTCGCCCTTAGCATTGCGCCGTTGAGTGTTTGGCTGCTTTGATGGTGGTATCCCGCATCCGTGCTGTGCTAGGATCGGACCCGTAATATCATCGCCGTTTTCGGAGAAATGGAGAACCCAAGTACACGTTGCGGTCGATTGAAGTCCACTTGAGGCTGTCCTCTAGACGGAGGTTGCTGGGTAATAGACATTAGGAATCCCGAAAACCCAGTTGGGTCATTGGAAAATGAAGACCTGGCCTTTCGTACCGACGCACATCGCATCCCGCTGCTTCATGGTGGCGTGACGACTATAGCAGTACCACAAATCTGGCCATCCGGCTTTGGGTGTATAGTGAAGTTGACTCGAAGAAAATCACCAAGTGCCAGGATTGATGTTGGGATGTTGTTCATGGTGGAGGCAGTTGTGAGTTGTGTAGGGATCAGGGATTAGCAAGCCACTGTTTGTTAGATACGCGTTTAAATACTACTATCGTTAACCTCGATAGTGAGAAGACTATCGTTAGTCTACTAAGGTCGACGAAAAGCTAGAGTTTATAGTTTCTGGGTTACTGTTATAGATAAGCAGAAGATAGTAATTTACGGGGTTCGAAGATTACAGGGTTGTTTTAAGGGCGGGGCACTACTTACTCTTGGAAGAAGAAACGGGATTGAGGAATGAGGAACAGGAAACAGTTCCTTGCTTACCTCTGCTTCAATGAAATCGATGAGCTTCCCCTGTATGTTTCCCTATTTAGATCTACAACACATCGATGTGTATACAAGACGTCGTGCCAGACAGAATGCTACCTTGCTGAAGGCTGACACTTGACAAAGAAGGGATCATGCGTTTATGACTCTCATTCCTCGTCGCAGTGTTCTTATGCCTACCGATGCCCAACAACATTATAATCGCACTTAGATATTTATGGTCTCTATCTGGTAAGGCACTGTAAGAAGGATTTGTAGGATATGTATACTCATTAAGCGACGTACCCATCAATGTATATCCCTAAAACAAAAGACGGGGAAAAGCCACTCCATAGGTCCATCAAAAATATTCACTAAAGACATACAACACCAGGTATTCGCTGGTCGTCACCGACCCAACTACTAATCCGGCCCTCATTAGCTTATCTATGGGAGAGCGGACGGGATCCCGAGTTCTCCAATGGGTTTGGTCGTACGTGGTTTGAAACGAACAGCTTGGTTATTCATAGTCCTCTGCTCACGCCTCGAGCCAGCCAGCCTCCCTTGAATCTCAGCGTAAGTGAATCTCTTAACGGCATACACAGAGCCCGGCATATCCGTACCGCACAGCCTATCACAGAGCATAGTATGCGCAACATGTTTGGCAGGACACGCTACAAAAGTTCCGTGAAGTGGAACTATTATTTGCCGTGATAGCCGAGATAAGAGCCGGATTGCCCCCACAATCGGCCTTGTCCGCGCGGCATCTCACAGATAAGCGCCGTCCTCATATTCCGAGGTGCCAAGTTACAACTTACCGCACACTAGATGACTATTCTCCCGAGCTGGCATGCCATTGTGCCGTTCTGCTATCAGCCATCAGTGGATCAAGATAGTGGTTTCCCATAGCTCCTTACCTCTTACCCCACCCCCCTTTGATAATTACGGGGTAAGCTTTCGGGATTACCTAGCTGGGCCTTCGCCGGTGCGACTGCAACCCGACTGACGATCAAGTGTCTTTTGAACATTCATATACATATTGGAGAATGAGTGGCGCTCAGCCCTCAATCGTCAATTTCTGGGCTGATGCCGGATAACCCGAAGAGTTTTAGTCGAGAGTCACACAACCGCAGCTTGAGCCCTTCTGATTAAGATTCAACAGGGATTGGACTTGACAGGAAGATACCAAAAGACGCAAAGACCAAAGAAAGATGAGAATTGAATTTCGAGTATCTAATAAGGTAGCGGACGGATACGCCTCAAATCGATACCGTAGAGTGCCTTGCTCCAAGCAGACTGGACTCAACGAAGAATGCGCGACGTGAGGAGGTGTGGGGTGTGGCACGCGACAATCTGAAAACCCGCAAATCACCTTCCGCCAGGCGTTAGGGCGTCCACCCGGGATGGTGGGTAGCATTGAAGATGAGCCCACCAAGATAGTGGTGAAAAATTGTATGCGCACGAGTGCTCCACCTGGGCGGCGACCAGACGATTCAATATAATGTCAGATCCCCGCCTTGGCGACGTTTTTGTGCCAAGAGACTTGCAGCCTCGTTGACTAGGTCTAATCTAGACCGTTGTTGCTTTTGTCGACTCCGGTCCTTTTGCGACTTTACACCGAATCGACGCTGAGAACGAAAATCCCGGTCACGACGACGGCCTTTTGCCATGGAACGCTTCGAAGAGAAAGGCATGGGCGAAAAGACGTCGCCTCAGGCTTCGCTCGAGGCGGGCAGCAGCGACCGTCCGAGGGAGGGTGGCATCTTGGCCGCTTTGCGACGCTTTGAGGGCAGAATGGATAAAGCTCTAGGGGTCGAGTCGCATGCCATTGACCGCAAGACGGACGCAGACAAGAAGCCCGTCAAGTGGCACGAGGAGCTGACCATGGCTCTCCTGTGGGCAAGTGGTACGATGGGCATCAGCTGTTTTGCCACTGGATTTCTCGGCTGGGAGTTTGGTCTTGATTTGCAGCGTGCCATTCCTATCTACATCTTTGGTTCCATCCTCGGCGGCGCCGTGTCTGGATACTGTGCCACGTTCGGTGCAGCAACTGGTCTGCGTCAAATCTCCGTCTCACGATTCAGCTTTGGCTGGTGGCCAAACAAACTCATTGCCTTCCTAAATGGCCTGGAACAGCTTGGATGGGCATCGGTCGGCTCCATCAGTGGCGGATTAGCTCTGACCGCCGTGGCTGATGGTCGCATTTCGCTAGTCGTCGGTGTCATCATCATCGCCGTCGTATCTCTTTTGGTCAGCTTTCTCGGTCTGCGCTACATCTTGATCTATGAGCGGTACGCGTGGCTCATCTACTTCATCATCTTCATGATCATCTTTGGCATGGTTGGCCCGTATGCTGACGACGTCACGCCGGCCCAGGTCACGGGCGCCGACCTTTCTGCCAGCGCCCTCTCACTTCTTGCCGTCGTTTATGGAAGTTCTGCCTCATGGGCCACCATGGTGTCCGACTACTACGTCCAGTACCCGACCAATGTATCCAGGTTCAAAGTCTTTGCACTCACGACACTCGGCATTGCCATTCCTACCTCTATTGGCATGACTGCTGGCGCCGTGGTGGCCAGCTCCCTGAACAACCAGACGGCCTGGAAAGACGCATATGAGAACCAGGGTCTTGGATTCCTGATCCGAGACATGCTACACCCGCGCGGATTCGCCAAGTTTCTACTCGCCATCTTCTCCTTCAGTGGCATCAACACCAACATCATCTCCCTCTACTCTGCGGCCATCTCATTCCAGCAAATGGCTCGTCCTTTCGCCCAAATACCTCGGTTTCTTTGGACTTTCCTCTGCTTTGCCATTGTGATTGGTCTGGCTCTCGGTGGTCGCAGCCAGCTAAACACCTATTTGCAGAACTTCCTCAGCTTGCTAGGCTATTGGTGCACGAGCTACTTTGTCATCTTGCTTATAGAGCATTCCATCTTTCGACGTGGAGACTTTGCCAATTACGATCTCGATGGCTGGAACGACCCGAGCCGCTTGCCTCTTGGCATTGGAGCTAGTGTCGCCTTTTTGGTCGGGGTGGTCGCATGGTGCATGGGCATGGTCGAGACTTGGTTTGTGGGACCCCTTGGCGGCTTGATTGGCGAATCTGGGGGTGATATTGCCAACGAAATGACACTTGTTGTTACCGCTGTGGCATATCTGCCTGCTCGTTATTTGGAGTTGAAATTATTCGGGCGATAGGTACGGAGTGGAAAATTCTAAAAGAAGAGCTCTAGGCGGGAAAGGGCTGGCTTTACGTTCAGAACATGGACCAGCTACCTTTACGACTTGAGGCGGCACTTTTCCGTGATCAGAAACTTTTTCAACCCGCGTTCACATAATCTCGCGACTTCAGAATGGGACATTAATGTCACTCAAGCCATATATACTTGACTCAATCTTACCGACTACCTAGATAGTATTCACTGAGCTGAACCAATGTCGACTCCGAAGAATATGCTGCTGGATGGGGTAAATCTCCCAGTGGATGTCCAACCCCGCGTCGTGACATTACCCTGCTACGTGGAGGCGATCGTGGGGGTCAAGTCGGCGGGAAGCCCGTGATCGCGCTGTAATCCGCGTCAAGTTGCCCGAGGTGGGAAAGCTGAAGACGGTTTCGCTTACGGTCTGGGAAGAGAAACAATAACCACGGTCAGACAGAAAGCCGACAAAAGCTCAATGCATACGATAGCTTGTGCATTACAGACCACCTAGTCTAGAACAAGTCGGTCACGGCCCCATCTGAGGCGCTGGATACTAAATGAGCATACTTGGCCAGAGTGCCTCTTGTCACGGGAGGCCTGGGAGCCTTCCAGTGACGCAGTCTCTCCTTGACGTCAGCGTCAGCTACATTCATACTGATTGTACACGTCTCAGCATCGATTGAGATTATATCCCCGTCCTCGATAGCGGCGATGGGCCCGCCGACAGCTGCCTCAGGGACAATATGGCCCACGATGAAACCGTGACTGGCGCCAGAATATCTGCCGTCGGTGATGAGCGCCACGTTTTTGAGGTTGGCTCCAATCAGAGTCGCGGATGCCTTGAGCTGTTCAGGCATGCCGGGACCGCCCTTCGGCCCTTCGTAGCGGACGACAAGGACAATGTTCCTGTCCCTCGGAATGTTGCCGGCGTTGAGCTCCGTGACAAGCTCGGACTCCTTGTTGAAGCAGCGTGCCTCGCCCTCGAAGCGAAGTCCCTCCTTGCCTGTGATCTTGGCCACTGCACCGCCGGGAGCGATATTTCCATGGAGCACGACGAGGTGCCCAGCTGGTTTTATGGGGTCGGAGAGCGGCCGAATAATGTCCTGTTCAAGTGGCAAAGATGGCCACGAGGCAACATTCTCCTCAAGAGTCTTCCCAGTGACCGTGAGCGTCTTTCCGTTGAGGAGACCCCCTGCAATGAGAAGCTTGGTGACCGACGGTACTCCACCGATAAGAAAGAGGTCTTCAATGACGTATTTACCGCTCGGTTTCAGATTAGCGATGAAGGGTGTCTTGCGAGAGACTCGTTGGAAGTCCTCAAGACTGAGGGGCACCTCAGCTGCTCTGGCCATTGCGAGAGTATGTAGAACGGAGTTGGTGGATCCTCCTAGTGCCATCGTAATGACGAGGGCATTTTCAAATGACTCTTTGGTGAGTATGTCCCTCGGCCGGATGTTGCGACGCAAGCAAACTTCAATAGCATCAGCAACCTTGACTGCTTCTCTCATCTTGATTGGAGAAGCTGCCGGAGTACTCGATGAGCCAGTGACCGATAGACCCAGAGTTTCAATGATTGTAGCCAAGCTATTCGCAGTGTACATGCCACCGCACGCACCTGGACCTGGAACAGCCCCCTTTTCGATGGATGTCAGAATTTCCTCTGGCGTGACAGACTTGTCGTCGGACCAAGAGCCCAGCGTGCCGAACAGGTAGGCCCCCTGAGCTTCGTAGCAAGTCACAATGTCAATGGGCTTCTTCAACACCTCGCAGTACCCACCAGCAACAGTGCCTCCATAGACAATGACAGATGGACGATTGTGCCTTGCAACTGCCATGACGCAGCCTGGCATGTTTTTATCGCACCCGGGTATGGCTATAGTGGCGTCGTGTGCCTGCGCGCAGGTTATGGTTTCGATGTTGTCTGCAATGAGCTCGCGTGACTGCAGAGAGAACCTCATGCCTTCATTGCCTTGGGCAATACCATCTGATACGCCCAAAGTGCTGTATTGCCAGGCAATGTACCCCTTCTTCTTGATGGCATCTTTGATGGTCTTTCCCAAGTCGAGGAGGTGCATATTGCAAGGGTTACCTTCCCACCATACTGAAGCAACACCAACCTGAGGACTCCTCTGCATCATCTCCTCGTTAGGAACTCCTGCAGCATACAGCATGGCCTGCAAGAGTCAACGATGTTAGTCTGAATGCACAGAAGATCCTAGTCGGGGCGATGGCTTTCCTTAGCACCAGGGAAGTCATGTTCGCGAGTGAGAAATGTGGAGTACTTGTTAAGGACCGGTTGTCCATCTTCCCAGGTGGCATCATTAGGCGCAATGGGGAACTCGACATATCGAGGGTCGTGGTGTCCTTGATCCTCTCCGGCAGCCGGATGAACCGCATCGAAATTTGAATTCATCTTGAATGATTTGTAACGACTCGACGAGGATGAGAGGTCAGGGCATTCAACTCAAAAGTTATTTTACAGATGAAGAATGGCCAGAATCTCAAAAAAGAGAAGTTACTCAGGTATGACCAGTAGTTTCAAGATTTCCTGGTCGGTCCGGCTACAGACAAACATCCACACAACGTGGGGTGCGGGGTAGTCTGGGTAGAACCCGACCGATTTCCTCACGATATCAGTGTGCCCCTAATCAAAGAATATGAACGCAGTGTTGGTTTACGAAGAGAAAGCTGGGTTTTTGATGGAGCCTCTCCACAGAAAAGTAACGACTAATTGAAATAGGTCGAATTCGATTTGTTGGAACTTCAGAAGGCGGTGCAGTGGAGCAAGCCACGCTGATAAGTGTTGGGGCGAACCCCGCACCAACTCGGGCATAAGTCCGGCACATTTTGCGGGTTCTTGATTCCGAGAAACGGACGCCTACGGGATAATACGGTAGCGACGTCGCGAAGTAACTCGGATGGTATCTTGTTATAGACGGTCAAAAGATGTCTTTTACCTAAGAGAAGCGAAATAGAAATCAGCGCAACGTGTAACATGATCGCCGCTGGCTAATGAACGTCGTTTTCACGATCCCCTTTGCTTGTCTCACACAGTCTTTTTGATGATGGGAATGTATCTCGTCCACGGGTGTTCCTCCCTAAATCCCAACAAGGCTTGAATTTTCTTGTTCGACATCGGGGCCTCGCGCTCACCCATCTCCCGAGTGAAAGGCGTTGATGGACTAATGCGACTCAAGAATGCTGTTGTGACCTCGGTGTTTGTGATGTTGTTATTCGTCGCATTGAAGACCTGCCAGCCCAGGCCGTCTCTCTCAATACCAAGATGGCACATCTGGCCAAGATCTCTGGCATCTATGTAGGACCATCCGTGGACATCCCAAGACTCTGGCTGGTTGATGTAACCAGAAAAGTTTTCAGCATACTTCTCAGGCTCAATGACAGCTCCGATACGGAAGCAGTAGATGTCAACCCCGAACCGATTTGCAAAGCTCCTCGCAATAGTTTCTCCAACGACCTTGGAAAGTGCGTAAGGGTCGGTGGGATTGCAGTCGACCTCCTCGTCGATCGGGAACGAGATGAATTTCCGACGCTCTTCTGCGAACGTGACTCCGTAGACGCAGACACTACTCGCCAAGATTATTTTCTTGACGCCTAACTTGCATGCAGCTTCGATTACATTGTGGATGCTGTTCACGTTTGTCTTGAAGACTTCGCTGTCTGGGGCGAGCAGAGGTCGGGCGTATCCAGCAAAGTGGATGACAGCATCAGGAACTGAAGACTTCTCAAGAGGCTGGCTGAGCCGTAATTGGGAGTGAAGCGCGCTGTACACTTGGCCGGCATCGCTGACGTCGCACCTCATCGTATGAACTGCGGGGTTGTCGAGAGGGGCAATGTCGAGATTCATCACCTCGTGGCCTTCGCGTAGAAGCTCTTGGATGACCCAGCGGCCAGCGATGCCGGAACCGCCCGTGAAGATAATGCGCTTGCCCATGAGAGTGAATGTCTTTTCAAGTCGGCGATGGGATTCTTGAAAAGTGAGGTTCGCAATACAAAGCCCCAAGAACGAGAAAGGAGATGAAGAAGTCGGTACCTTGCTCCAAACTTCAGGGTCCACCTTTTCTTTTTTTGGCCAATTGCCGAATTGCGTTTTAATTGACCTCCGAATCACCAGTTCCACTTAGACCACCCCAGGCAATTAAAGTACTTACCACCCTCAGACTCCTTGATGTCGGATGGACAATTTGCAATGAAACCATAGCCTGAATGGTGGTAGAAGCCCTTCAATCAGACTGGTCGCTGTTTGATTACCATGATACTCACAGGCGGCGTGTGACACAAACATCTAATAAACGTCTTTGAGAGAAGGGAAAGGGCAGGGTATAACCGGGGAAAAGGAGAATCTTCTTTGCCAACATACGCTTGAGTGACGGCGTTATAGTGATGGGGGAAGCAAAGCAGGCAGTCTCCAGGTCCGTTGAATAGCGGCGTAGGCGGTAGTCCAACCGCATGCCGGCCATGCGAAATATAAACCCCTTTTTGTTTTACCTGTCGGATTAGAAGTCCAATTCGACCTCGCGGCAGCGCAGGGGCCACTTATCGATTATATAGTTAATTACTACAACCTATCTAACTTATAATTAAAATCTCCTTTTTATATATATATAATAAAATTATATAGTTAATTAACTTATTATTACGTTAACCTATAGTTCGAATTAATTAATTAATATCCTTATAATAAAAATATTAACACTAATTAATAATTAATTTCTATTATTATAAATTAATAAAGTATTTTATATATAAATAAGACGACCTTTTAAATAGAATATAATAAGAGAATTATATTATTTAGTTTTATAAAAATAAATAATAAAATACGAATCTTTATAATAAAATAAAATAAAGGGATTATAACCTTAATTATTTATAAAAGTCGATGTTTATTATATTAAAATAACTCTTATTAAGTAATAGAAATATTAAAATAACTAAATTACTATTATTAATTTTATATACCTTTTTATTACTTAATTTTATTATAACTAGCCCATAATTAAAAAAATAACCCTTATAATAAAAAAATTACTTATATAATAATTAATTATTTAATTAATTTACGTAATAAATAAGCCTTATTATATAATATAAAAAATACTATATAAATAATAAAAAAATCTTTAAAATATAAAAAGTAATTAAAATCTATTTTTATTTTTATTAATATTTAACTTTATATAAA